GATTTTTTTTAAAATTTATGTTGTTTGTGTTTTGTATTTGTATTATGTTGTAGACATATATAAATTAGTTACATCGATTCTCCACAAAGTTAACATTGGTTTTAATACATATTGAATTTTAGGTGTTCTTAAAATTATAATTATAAATTTAAAATTAACTACTAAATAATGTTGTAAGAATATTCAATGCAAAAGAAAAAAAAATATTGGTATTTAAAAAAGATATATTTAATGAGATTTGAATTTATGATTTTGTGAGTGATATAATATATAAGAACATACAGAAAATAAATATCATTTTTTTTTTTTACTTTATAAAAGTTACGTTTGTGCCCTTCAACTTTGCGAGTCTGCGTCCGCCCTTGTATATATATATATATATATATATATAAAATATCTAAAGGAAACACTACATTATATTTTGATTATCCATATCATTCCATCATGAATTTCATCACTCAATTGGATGAGATCAAAGTCACAATATATTCAAGCAGTAGAAAACTTCTAAGGCAAGATCCACGCGCAGATTATCTACTGTCCACTTAATTATTTTATTTGATAGATAAAAAGATGAGCTAATTAACTAAGAGCTGTAGATAAAATAAATAGAGAAAATAAATAAATAATATAAAATAGAAAACAATAATATTACTGTTTAATGTACATGCGAATCGTGTTCTTGTGCTATACGCCGTTATCACCTATTCAGTAAAAGCACGCCGTAATTACTAATTAGGTCTTTGGTCAAACCTTCAACATATTTGGTTGACTTCATCACTTTAATTTTCAAACGATTAAAGAATTGAGGCATTTGCAACCTGTCAAGTCTCCAGCCTCCAGGTATAATCATGGGAATATTTTTTTTTTTTTTTTTGTTTTTTAAACTGCACTGCTAATATCCCTAATTATAATATAATAATTATTGGGATTTTGTGTTTTAACCATATTGATAATATAATAATTATGATTTATGAGAATTTCGTGTTTTTACTGATATCTTGTCTTCTCATTTCATTCTCTTTTTTATTTTTCTTATTATGAATTGTTTTAATGCTAAAAAATAACTTAATAAGAATATTGTTTTTTTTAATCAAATGATTACTTCTCTAATTGGGCTAGCGAGTCATATGGATTACATTTATTATATGCATATAAATACAAATAAATTCTCATTGTCCTTATCAATAATTAACTCTAAAATATGGCTCCCCGTGGGTAGGAACCATTTTATTTAAAATTAAATATTGTTTCTTAAATTTATTGTTTTTTTTAATCAAATGATTACTTCTCTATTTGCAATCTGTCACATAAATTATGATAAGTTCATTAATAGGACAATACGATACTTGTAAAAAACAACTTTTTCAATGTCGCAGCCATATGTTTTCAAACAACTACTAATGTATGTAATTGCACCAAAAAAAAAGAAAAAATAAATAGTTATTTATTTGTAACTTGTAATAAACATTAAGGGAATATTAGCATTTTCCCTAATAAAAAAATAAAATTATATTTTCTAAAGTTTTTTTTATATAAAATAAACAGTATTTTGGATTTCAATCTATTATTTACGTAAATACATTAGAATATATGTATTTGTCATAGATACCAGAGTACAACTAAATACATCTTATTATTACATATAATCAAAACTCAATCTAAAACATATATTTTTCAATACAAGAAAAATTATTACAAATGCATTGCAATTTACAACACAAATAATTTTTCAATATATTATAATTTAAAATTATAAAACATCCAAATGATTACCATTATTTATTTTTCCTTAATTTCGTTATAATTATATTTAGAGTAATATTTATTTATGACAAGTTAACCAAAACATGACTAATCAGTAATCTATATTATTTAAAAACTAGTGCGTGACCCGTGCAATGCTCGGGAAAACAATATTTTGATTGTATTATAATTTAAATAAATAAATAACATTAATCATGATTTATCCATTATTTTTAAATTAAACCGGGTTGGACATAGTCCGACCGGATGGACCGAGAACAGGTTTATAACCAGTATATTGCGCTTGAATAAAATATATGTTATCGAATCCGTCAACATCAATATGTTGGACTGGTAGGATCGATACGATTTTCTAAACAAATTTTGTTACATTAAAAATTATTTTAAATAAAATTACATATTTAAATAAAATAGAGATTTATAATTTGTTTATCAATTAGTTTAAACATTTGAACTTATAAATTGTTTAGATATTTAAGTAACACTTTATTTAAATTTATTACAAAAAGTACTATATATATATATATATTAAAGTATTATGTATTAAAATCTGAATAACCACAAATGATTTAATAAAATAACTTGATCGTTTCGATGACGTTCCGGTTCTGAAAACCTTATATTTACCGTACATTAATAAAAATGATAATAAAGTAATTATTTTGTTCACATAAATAATAATAAAATGATATATAAATATTCATAAATTATTAATCATGTTGTCGTAAAAGTATTGTTAATATGATTATTTGAAGTTTGGACTACATAATAAAGTATTTTTAATATTAAAATTTATATTTAGGTTCAATAATCGATTTGGTCTGGTCAAACTGATACATAACTTAGTTACCTGGGACCAAGCAAGTTATGTCAAGTTTTTTGACTATTTTAAATATCACCTAAAAGTAATTCAATCAACGTGGGCAATACCCTAATTCAATCACCCGATTGATACAAAAGTAATTTCATTATTTTCTTTAAATATAATATTTAATTTTATGAAATAAAAAAAATTTATGATTCATATGTCTACACCAAATGATAGTATATTAAGATTATAAATTATATATCTAAAGATGAATTATTTATTTTTATTTTATGCATATTAATAAAAAATAAACATAGTAATTTAAANTATATATATATATATATATATATAGATATGATTAATCTATATTACATCATAAACCAAAATTAAAAGATACCTAATCCCACATAAAAACCTTAGTAACCAAATATGATTACTCAAAACTATATATAATTACTTTCATTAAATTAGCAATGTCAAAATTTTCTATTACTTCCGGAGTATAGCTAATTATGAAATCAAATTCTAACTCAATAATCATCAATAGTTTATTATAACTTAAATATCTGTTTATATATGCAATGTTTTTCCATGATATTAACAAAACATCTTGACCCACCATAGACTTTGATTATTATTATCCCTATTATTTGGCCTATATAGCAAGTTGATGGCAACTCGCACTTCAATAAGAGCCAAACAGAGATCCATGAAAACAACAACATGATACTTTTTTCTCATTAGTCTGCTTTATTTCATATCGAGCTCCCTCCCATGCCAGATTTTTAAGAGACTTGTTTCGTTTCATGTTAAGCTGAAATAAGATGATGAATTTAGACATACATTATATATATAATGATTTTTGTTTAATTAATTTGATAAGTGACGATACAAAATTACATCTTTGTTAAAGGAAAATAAAAATTCTTATGTGAGATATTTGTCTTACGTTAGATATACTTTGTAAATAAAAGTACATAATCTATATTATCATATGAAATGCTTATGTTTAGGCTGTGCTTTAAAATATGAAAGTTATCATATGAAAAAGCTTCTTGTTTAGGCTATGTTTTAAAATATGTCAATTTACAATGAAAATATATATATTTATGAAAACAAATTCTTATACGAGACTGTCTAACTATTAGGCAGTTTGACACATCATAATTTTTAACAAAAGTGCATATTTATGTTGTGAAATGACATATTTTGTTTATGTTATTTTAAAGTATGATTAAAAAAATATATATCATAGTTTTGTTTATGGTGTTTCTTATGACATTTCAATTTAAAAGTATGCATATCTATTAAAAAAAATATATATATATATATATATATATTTATCGCTAATATAAGAGTACCCTTTTTGCAACACAAATGTCGTGGTGCTATTTGGATATTTTTTAACATATTGGTAAAATAAATTAGAGATTTAATTACAATCAGTACTACTTTCATCCTACACCTTGAATAGTTGGAAATTGGAATCAAATATCAATGATGGTCCCAAATTTTTATTCTCTTAATTCGGCCATAAATATTGACAATAGTCAATAGGTGTCCCACGCATTGTTGACCTCTTTTATTCTCTTACATTGGTAGTGTTATTCAATGTTCTTTAATAAATAAAAATCCCATGCTTGTTCATCTTGCTTTTCTCAATTGGATGAAGATGGTATCAAAATTCTATAATACTAAGCAAAATAAAAAAACTCACCTATGCGTAACAAAGTTTGGTCCTTAATTAGAATCCATAAACAATTAATGAAGGTGCATGCGATGCACAAATTATTGCCCTGCTAGTTAATCATTGCCTAAGTGCTGACAAAATTTAGGTTTGACAAAGGTGCGACAATTAGGTTGGTTCTATTCAGACAATATTAATTTACTATTCATAAAATTTAGCTTCGTTTTATTACCCGTGATAAATTAGGGTATTCAGCATTCTTTAATTTAACAACACTGCAATTTTAAGCGTTTTTTTTTTTTTTTTTATTTGTATCACTACAATAAGTCTCGTGAATACCAAGTAAATGTTTGTTTTACGGGCAAACCATCAATTTAGTTCAGTATAATGGTGTGGTGGATTGATTAACATTTGTGGAAGATAAAGATCTCGACTGACACCTTTACTTGCAAAGTTACAGTAATATGGTAAAAAAAACAATCATATTTTTTTTTAATGAATATATAATTTAAATAAATATTTTTTCAGTACATATTTCCTATGGCTAACTTACTAGCAGTGCTCTCACAAGATTTCGATCGTTAAATCACATAAAATTACAAACATATGTGTGATTAAGTGTTGATCCAATGATTCAAACTATTAAATCTTGATTGCATAACCGACTTTAAAAAAATTATTTTTACAAAACAAATTTCCTTCGGCTTTCACAACAGCAGCGGCCAGTGGGGTAGGGTGAAAGATAAAAACTCAGGCAACTTGACCAGGTAGAGATAGTGTTTATAAAGCTTTAGATATTTCAAGTGGAACAAAACAATCATAAAATATAAATACTAAATAACTAATAAAGATAAAATAATTGAAAAGTAGGTCACAAGTCCCCAAAAACCTGCAGTACAGTTGCAAATATAATTTTTTTTTATCCGACAATACACATTCAATTTTCTATATATTTTCACAAGAGACAAAACAAAACAAAACAAACTATAACAAAACCGGAAAGAAAATTAATTTGATATGGCACCTCTAAAGATCACAAAATGATATTTATGTGTTCAATTAGTTCATATGTCCTTGGAAAGGATGGATGGATCAATTGGAAATGGACTTAGAATTCTCAACTTAATGCAGAAGTCCAGAGCAACTCCTGCAAATAGAAAGATCAAAATACTTTCACAAACGTAAACCGAACCACTAAAAGCATGCGAGAGAAAGCTGCCGGCTTCCAAATCCAACGGTGGTCCACCACCCAGCATACCGAGCCCTGCATAAAGGAAAACATTGCTCGAAAAAACCCATCTTTATAAATGACATTAATTTGCCTCAAGATGGTATTACTCTGAATCCCCTTTTTCTGGTTTTATACATTAAAGAAAAGGGATTGTAAACAGGATATCGTGTTGAAATCGAGCCATTGAGATGTAAGCTAGCAAGAACATTGAAGTAAAATAATAAATCCCTCTTATATATAATTTCAGAACGTGCAGTTCTGCACGCTTTGTAATCTTATGTGGCAAAATATTAGGCTTTGCAATAGGCTCTAATAGAAATTACTAGTTTTTTTTTTTTTTCTAATACCAAATAGCTTAGGTTTGGATTGCCATAAATACACATAGGTAATATATTTAATCTATTCTATATAAATCTATTTATTATTTTCTTTCTATAATGTGCATATTATCTCACTTTCCAAATTTTGTGTTTTGTCTATATTATTCTCTTATGTGTTTTAAATAAAAATATTATAAATAAAACTAATGTTGTATATAAATTAGTCTTCAGAGTTTAAAATAATATTGTTAATTCGCTTAATTCTTTATTATAAATTGTTATATATTGTTATTCATTTATTTTTTCCAACTTCAACAAAATATATAAACATTTATTTTTTCTTTATGTTTAATTATTTTATCAAACACTCGTGCAGTATGCTAGTATTGCTCCAAACTCTACTTGAGCATCCAAATCTGGGTCAATATACCAGCAAAAACATCTCTGAACAATGTTGACGGAGAAGATGCTGGTCTAGCTTTTACTTCGGCGCCTATTTCCTTACACTACCACTATAGGAATCTTTGTGTTCAAATAAATAAATAAAAAAATGAAAATGATACTATTCTTGGGCATCATAAGAGCATCTCCAACGGATTACACCAAACTCAAACCCATTTTGCAGTACAAATCCCATTTTGCAGTAATTCATCTCCAACCGAAAAACCCATTTTCCAACCCAAAAGAATATTCTCGGAATATTCTATTTTACATCAACTTTTACAATTTTTCAATACTACCCACATATTTTACAACTTTACAAGTTAAACCACACTATTATTTTCAATTCAATTTAAACTTTATGTAATAAAATCGGAGAAATAAATAGTCATATAAAAAAAAAATTTAAAAATTACAACACACAATATAATATTAAAAATTACAACGCACAACATTATAAATTAAAAACTTCAACACAAGATAAAATTAAAAAACCACACGGACAAGATGAGAAATTAAAAATTACAACACACTAAATAAAATTAAAAATTACAACACACAAGATGAGAAATTAAAAATTACAACAATTAAGTAAAAATAGATAGTCTTTTATAATTACTCTATTATAAACAAATATAAAATAATATCATATTAATTATTTTAAATATCATATTATATAAATTTCATGAAAGTAAAAAAAAAAAGAAATTTTTTTGTATTCTTTAAACTTAATTTTTTATTTATAAAATTATTTATTTTATCATTTTAACTATTTAAATAAAAACAAAAGAAAATAAAAAAACAAAACAAAAATCAGTTTTTATAAATTAAATAAACCTAAAGGACCAAAATGTAAAAAAAAAAATATTGAACGCATAATTTGCGTTCCGACGCAAATATGCGTCGATCTGAGGAGAGAGAAGGTGAAGATCGCAATTTGCGATCGGGTTTTGGCACCGATTGGAGCTCTCCGTACTGCAAATTTTGCGTTTTGCAGTACGGTTGGAGAAGGTCTAAGCAAACTAAACTATAATAAAAAGAAAATTAAAAGGAAAACGAAAAAGGAAATAAAAACAATACAATTCTAGGAGCAGGGCTGCTGTCTGCATCCAAATAAGCTCTAACAATTTTGCTATTATTGTTTTCAACATTAATTCCCATCCAAACCAACACAAAAAACTGTTGGAGTAGGCATAATAGGTCAAAATTGCTCAGATGTGTTAATTTTGACCCAGCAATCATACTTTCTAAACAAAAATGTGTACTTTTACAGTTAAATGTCACTCTTCAATACAGATTAAATAATTTTTCTTTATTGTTTTCGGGAAGTATATGATATTTAAGAGTGGAAGTATGTCTTTCTGATAAAAAACTATGTCCGCTTAATCCATTGGGCAAACAGACAAGATGACTCGACCTACTGCCAAAGCAATAAGGTTATGTTTTAACTCTTACATCAGATTTGAAACAGCAAAAGTTTTGTTGTATCTTGAATGAAGTTCCCTATAAGTAAACTGCTATGCCCAATAATGTAAATGACAAATTACAAGTTATTGGCTATATAAGGATTGAGTGAATGCAAAAATATACCTTTAACGAATCCAAAGGCTGCAGAAGTCCCAGATTTTAGCTGGAAATTGTCCAAGTCTCTTCTGACAGCATATCTGAAAGTTACCCCAAACAATGCACAGCTAACAAAGGTAATGGCCAGAGGAAGTAAGAGTTCGGAGTTGCTGGTAACTCGAGTTAAGGAAATGGGGAGCTCGGCAAGTGTGCCGATGATGGCAGATAATGAAGCAGCTTTAACAGACTCCAATCTCTCGTCATCTTTTGAGGCTTTCCTCCTTTGGTCTGTCAATGACCTTTCAGCTTCTTCCACCATTGCCCTTGCTTCCGATATTTCTTTCTGGCATTCTGCAATCTTTCGATTAGCTAAATACAGTCAGTATGTCCTTTAAGTAAGTTGTGAATCAGCAATGAATAGGTTAATTGAGAATTGAGTGGAAAATTCTAATCTGTTTCTTGTGAGGTTTCTTAGAGCAAGATGGAAGCTTATTCGAATTAACAAATTTAACTAATCCGAAAATATCTGAGCTTTAAAGTGAAGACGAGACTATATAAATACAGAGGTTAGACTAGTCACAACTAAAGTGTGTTGTGTGTCTACTTCTAGACGCGATGAGAGAATGTCTATTAGGTTATATGAAGCTTTGATGGATCAATAAATCTAGCATTACTTTCTAACTTATGAGTGTGCAGTCAATTGGTCATTTTCTACTAAACCTTCCACCTCTATCTTCATATTCAATATCACACAACCTAAATAATAAATTTCACTTGTGCTCGTTTCTGCTATATTTATCCTTTCTCTTCGGTTAGCACTTCAAGCCAAGAATCCATTACCACCACAGGCATAAATTAAACAACAAGTCAAGAGCTACAATAGAAACAACAGCTATGTTACAATGCAACGTGTTCACTTGAACTGCTAAAAATTTACTAAACAAGTTCACTAACAATTACCACATTTTTCTCATTGCAGAATCTTTTGTATAGAGTGTTTTTCCTATGACATGATCAGGAATTGATTATGTCTTTCAGTGAACCGAATCGCAAATAAGACTAACCCCATTTCTTGACAAAGATACAAATGTACAACAGATACATAAAAAAATCTCAACAGAATGTTTTGCCATTTTTGACAAAAAGAAGAAAATATGTGATCAGACTAAATAAACGGGCAAAAAGTAACAAAATACAGAGAATGGTGATAGTAATACCTCAGAGGCTCTTGATTCGAGGTGATTAACGTAATCCCTCATAGCCTTGGCCTCAATTTCCTGCTTTTTTATCTCGGCAAGCTCTCGCCTGGCAATTTCAACTCTCCTGGAGGCTTGCTCCAGCCCGTCCAACAAACCCTTGTTCTCCTCTTTGCTCAAGAGTTCATCTACCCTCTCGTCCACCATACCAGACAGCAAATCCTTCAAATTGCCCTCATTTCCACTTGCCGATGGCGGGCTGCCGTTTTTGCTGCATCTCAGCCCGGATGCGGCTCTTGAAGCTGGGTTTACAGCTGCAGCCAGGTGTTTGAATTGAGGAATTGAGTGAAATCTCTCGGGGAACAAAGTTCTGAGTTTTGGAGGCTGAATTAATGGCGAAGGGGAGCTGCTTGGTGTAGTTGTTATGGTGGTTTTCATGTTGATGGGGGAAGACGAAAGGATGTATGTAATATGTACCATACTACAATGTATTGGATCATATGTAGCGCCATAGGACGCAATAGTTGCTTGTGAGTTTATCCACATTCTCAAGGGGTCCGGGCTGACCCGCAACCCGCTAAAGTTGGAGGGGGAACAAAAACGCCAACTTCTCTTTTTTTTTTTTTTAACCCATAATCCCCTCTTAATATAATTTAAAAACGTGTTGAGCCTCGCACGTTTCGGAAACTTACTTAGCAACATTACATACTTCGGTTCGATTTGACATTCATACTCAAATCCAATTTTTGTAATCGTACAGAAACTTTAATTCAGATTTTTATTTTTTGGTACGGTTCGGTTTGATTCGGAGTCTAGAAATTTCTAATTGTTTATAGTTTTCTTTTCAATGACTATCTAGTTATATTTAAATTTTCATATGATTCAAAAAAATCCAAAGTTCATCATTACTTAACCATATTAAGTATTTTATTCAAAATCAACTTTAGTAAATATAGAAATAACATAAAATTCAGATATGACTAAATTTGTGCGACTAATGATGGAAATTTGATATGAAATATAATATAATTATTTTTTAAGTATATCTTTAACCTTTTTATACCCTTTTAGTTATAAGACATATCGGACAAAGAATTGAAGTTCCATCTCACATATGCCCAAAAAACCAATATCCAAAGAGCAAACGAGAGATCAACCACAAAACCAGTTGTCCCGGCCAGCCGCCGAACTCTCAGAGTCGACCTTAGGTAGTACTAGGATGATGGGGGTGGAAATCGGTGAGAGAGAGAGAGAGGAGGGGGGAGAAAGACAAACTTCTACATTTTTTTATTTTTTCTGTTGAGAAAGTTAAGAGAAGAGATCAGAGGGAGATGATGTTGATTGCGCAATCAAATTGTGTCTTGATTGTTTTTCTTTTGTGTTAGTCCCTTTTGTCACAAACTCTACTGGTAGTTATGAGAAAATCTAACATTTTAAAAAAATGTATTTCACAAGCTGAGCCGAACTAAGTTGCACATATTTGAGTTAGTGCAAATTTACAAAATGAGTCATCTCAATTCTTTAATAAACAAGCCAACTTGTGCAAACTCGTGAAATTCAACTCGATTCAACTCATTAATAAGCTTAAAATTGAAATGAGCTTTTTCGTTAACTTTTTCTTTTTTAAGAAAAAAAGAAATTGAAATTCTTCGCGAATAAGTTCGGCTCGACTTGTTTAAGTCAACAACGAAGTGTGTGCATAACCCAATTTGAATGGCGTAGTTCTATGCTCAATCTTCGGACTTAGATCTAACCCGACCCGATCCGCAGAGGCAACAATAGTACAAGACCGGAAGCTGAACCGGATTATCCTATAATAAACACGCATTTTCTTTTCCGAGCAGGCAGCATGTTCAAAGCATTTTCAAAAACCTTCCTCGGCAGCCACCACCATCTTCTCAACTTCAAACCCTCCCCGAAAACCTCATTCCACCACAATACGGCGCTACTAGCCATGTCCACAGCTGCCGCCGTCAAGCGCGTGGGCACCCACAACGGGAGCTTCCACTGCGATGAAGCACTTGGCTGCTTCATGATTCGCCTCACCAAGAAGTTCTCAGACGCTCACATCGTCCGCACGCGTGACCCGCAGGTCATACCATCATCTCCTGAATGCATTGACTGGAGAAATCTGGATCCATATTTGTTGTTTTTGTATGTAGGTGTTCTGTTTGATGAAATGTGCCTTTGAACTGTTTATCAGGTGCTGGAAGGTCTTGATGCTGTGCTTGATGTGGGTGGGGTTTACGATCCCACAAGAGATAGGTACGACCATCATCAGAAGGGTTTTGAAGAGGTTTTTGGGCATGGGTTTAGTACTAAGCTCAGTAGTGCTGGTCTTGTTTATAAGGTAACGTTTGATGTTGGACACTCGCCTTCAATTCTTGTCATGTAGTTTAGGAATCGAATTTCACTATGGACTTCTAGTTTTTATTTGCTTTTGGTATCAGCTACAAGTCCCTTCATTTAGTTTGAGCTCTAGACGTTTTATATATGCAATTTTTTTGGAATATATGAGACCTATGTATTTGCATTTGGGCATGGATTTAATACTAAGCTCAATAGCGCTGGCCTTGTTTATATGGTTACATTTAATGTTGGGCACTCGCCTTCACTTCTTGTCATATAGTTTAGAAATCGAAGTTCACCATCTACTTCTAAAGTCTCTTCATTTAGTTTGAGCTCTGTTACATTTCATATCTGCAATATTCTGGAATGTGTGAAACTCATATCTTTGCACGAGTCTATGATT